TGGCGATATGAAGTGCTTCACTTCGGCGTATGTCCAAGAGCATGCAAAGTCGCGATGGATTTGGAGATAGTATGCGACTGGAAGATATTAGCTGGTATCCAAAATTTCAGTACGACTTAAACCTTCTTGTTGGATATTATGTTGGTTAACAAGCATAAAAGTTTCCAAGACCAAGTGGAACGAAATCTTTGCATAATGTTAGTGTAACACTATTAGTGATAACTGAATATCAGTTTTGCAAATATAAAATTTATTTACACCAGGAAAAAGAATATAAAACAGGAACATAAATAAAACAGGAACATAACTCAAACAGGAACTAAACTACATCAGCAATATAACAATAACATTAACACGGTACATTAAGACAACCATTCCGCCCTTCAGCCACGGCCGATCTTTGTTCTCCTCTGCTTTTTTCCGCTTGTCTCAGGTCCTTATGTATACCTTCATATTACATTCTATTTAATCAAAAGCATTATCACTACATCTGGAAATTATTTAGTCCGTAATTAAATACGTACAAATATGTACGTATATATATGTAGTGGACAGCACAGTTTATATCTTAGATCAATAACGTGAGGTTCAAAGATTTCGCAGACATCGAGTTCAAATTGGTTCGATGTATCTAAATAAATATTTTACTTGTATAAATTATGGTCTTAATATGATACAAGTTATTGAGAACTTTATCATATTAAATAACAGATACTGTAAAACTATTAGCAGTGATAACAGTCTAAATATCAGTTCTGTAAAACTAAAATTTATTTACATCAGGAACATAAATATAAAACAGCTACATAAATTAAACAGGAGCATAAATTAAACAGGAACTAAACTACACCATAAGTAGAGAATTAATAAAAACATGTTTATTTTATCGCTTTCTCTTATCTCATGACAGTCAATCCCTTTTAAGAATAGTTCTTTTCGAACAGATATCAGCTCACAGTCTCGTATAACACTACTTCGTCTTCAGTTGAAAATCGACTGTGTGTAAATCACTCTCTACATCAGAACAGTAAGGATAACTCATATTTTGCGTCACTTACTGATTCTTCAAATCGTTGCTGCGATCAACCATATCAAAGATCTCTGTGTTAAAATTATAGTTGGAATGTGTAAAACGATTTTTAAGGATCACCAGTTACTAATTCAACGATTTTTCGAAGAATGGCAACAAACAGATATAATGAATTTCTAATAGGGTTGTAAGTCCAAAAATGGTTAAATGCCATTCCTGGTATTGACAAACATACGATGAAGCGAAATCCCATGCAAATGTTACATTTTACTTCTTTTGCTTGACATAATCTGCGCGTAATACAGGTTTATATTTCTTCGAAGTTGTAATTTACGATAGGCTGATTGTTGTCAGGTGACGTCCGCCGCCATCTTATGCTGTTCGAGAAATCTAATTGATGGTTCTCTTTATAATCCGACCGAATACAAGCCAGGAGAAAAGCTATAGCGTTGTTAATTATTTTGATTTTGTTATTTTTCAGAAAAAATCAAATCGCGCACCGTTATTTTGAAAAAGAAATAACCTTGTAATTATCACATGAACTATAACCTTAATCAGTAGAGCATATTACAAAATAAATTTAACCCTGTGTTTCAGTCACAGAAGAAATATATACAACACATGGCCTACGGCCCCGCGGTGCTTGTGCAACCATAATATAACAAATAGTAGCGTACTATGGGCCAGAAAATGAGTATGACGTCATCTTTGAATTGTGACGTCATGTCTAAACGCGAAATCCGTCAATTGAGGCACAATCGTCCAAGGAACCATCATGGCTAATTTTATGTCCATCGTACATGAATTGACGTAGCCTTAGGCTTTTTTTCGAAATGCGCCACCAACAAGAACAACAAGAACATGATCAGTAGCGCTAAGGGGCCAATTACTGCCCCTAAAATGATATTGTGTAGGAACTAGTCTACGGCAGGAACAAATCTAACAATATTAAATCCATCATTCTGCCCCTCTGCCAAGGCATTGGCTGAACTCGGGTGAGTCCTTACGCCGGTCTCTGCGTCTCTTCTGCTCTGCCTGTGATCGTCTCTAGTTGACTGCCGAATAAATAGAACGAGGAATTGGAATTTCGGAACGTCTAATAAGGAAGAAAATCGTGTCTGCAATAAATGTTGAATGGAGCTTGAAAGCAGATGAATCAACAGACTGTGCTGGGATAGAACAAATGAGAATATGTGTTAGGTACTTTGACGATGACGATGAGAAAGGCTTTGTACCTCTGACTAAAATGGATGCACGTACTATAGCAGATGCAAGAGTGGGGCCTAAATACGGATAAAATGGTAGCCCAAAGCTACGAAATGAAATGAAAGTCTAACGTCCTACTGTTCTGCTCCGAACTGGGCTAATGAAAACGGGCATTCCCCATACAGTGTGCTATGAGGGAAATTTTGCCCGGACAGCGGCAATACAGCCTACTCATATATCGAATTCAAACTGTCATGGGATCTTTTACGTGCACGCAAATGTGTACACGTGGCCTCGGTTTTTCGTCCCATCCGAACGACTAGACAGCTGCCAGGCCCTCCGTCCTGCATCACTTACAAGGGGGGGAGGGGACCACGCCGGAAAATCTGGATGAACTTTCTCGACCAATGCACTTAGTCACCATGACCCTCTCAAAGCTACGACGGAGCCAGTGGTATGAACTCGGGCGATAATGGCGTACATGTTATAATAATCCGTCTGTATCCGAATGCGATGTACGTCCGTTGTTGCGCATATGTACTGAATCTGGTTATATCGTCTAGCTGTACCAATGTACCCGCCGTCCGGAATGTTTTTGATACACTTACTAAGCTAGTTACTATACTTGTAACGTTAAACTGTGTGTTTAACCTTACAATTGATACAGTCTAAGAATCCTTACGCAAGTTCAAATAGGTTCAAACGCACAATTGTCAATACATATCATTACAGTTTGTATTGAAATAAGTAATTCTATGACAAATAGTGAAGACTGGACCACTAACATATTTACCGAACAGTTTTTCTTTGTGGTTATGCGTTCTACATTTACATAGCGATGTTTCTTGTAATGACGTTTTACACAAGCCGCCATGACACCAGCCAGTTGAAATTTCGCGTAGCAGTTGGGTTTCATCAAATCATATAATTATGCGGTAAGGCTTCACCTTTATTTCAATAGGAATTGATTTATTATATGTTAAGCTAGGTGCAGTACTGTTTTGGGTCAGTTTATGTGTAAATTAAGGGAGCTATGGACCAGTAACCTTTTTGTAGTGATTTCACTAAAAACCTTGCGCAAAGGAACTCTGTAGGACGAGCCACTTCTGTGGCTGGAGTAAGGCGGAAGACATCAGTAGTGGAACCATTTCTATTACTAAGCTTACTAACTTTATAGGGGGCCAGTGCAAAACGAAAAGCAATTGTTTCGAAGCATCTGGGAAGTCACTCGATGACGACACCGTTGAAAGGATGACGGTAATGATTGATGATAGATGGACAAATGAAAGTCCAGGCGATGAACGCGATGACGATCTATCTATTTCCTCGCTGCAACGGGGGGCCAACAAACAGCCTGTGCGAAAATTCTGCGTTACACGGTGGTCGGCGAGAGTAGAAACGGTTTCCGCTTTACGTGACCACCCTGGATGCTCTAACTGAAATTAAGAAACAAAGTACTGGATATGCTAGAACTAAGGCCTACACATATAGACGCGTTCTTGAGGATTCCCAATTCATAGTGGGGTTGGTAGCTGTACAAAAAGTATTGAGCTATCTTGCCCCAGTGACTAAAAATCTCCAGTCTCGGGAATGTGATCTGGTCGCAACCTACAACGATATCAAACTCGAACGAGATAGAAGACGCGACGGTGATTGGGATAAACTTTGGCATAGAATCTGTGTTATTGGTGATACAGCTGGAACCACAATATCGAAACCTAGAGTGGCCGGCCGTCAAATGAATCGGGCCAATGTTGGTAAAATGGGTCAGTCAGCATTGACTACTACACTGACTGAAGGAACGCTTCTCAGTATCTACTGCCCGAAAGCACACAACATCTAACAGACGAAGTTAAGCAAACCATACTATCCTATTACAGTAAATATCTCAGTGTTGAGGAGAAACGGCACTTTGATTGTTCCAAATGGCTGGTACTGCACCAAACGTCTTCGAACAGAACACCTATACAAACTTTGCACATGTGCTCCAAACAAAGTTTTTCAGTCATTCGTAGAATTCTCCGTATCTTTATCACACCTACCGTAGGCAGGGTGGCGTGTGAGAGATCCTTCTTTGATCTTCGCCGGGTAAAACTGTTGTTGAGGTCAAGCACGTCTGAATGTAGACGAAATGAACTAGCTATGCTGAGCGCGCACCGACGATGCGGTGATGGATTTCCTACTCCGAGGGATGTAATCAAGCAGAAAACAAACTGGCGTTTTGAGAACTAGATTTTATCTTTTTGTGATTTGGTTGCATAAGGATTGCCGTGTCCCAGCCCCAACGGTGCTAAACGCAAGGTCGAAAATAGGACCATGAAAAAGACTGAAGCAAGTGAACATTTTCTACACTATTGTGCCCATATATTGTAAAAGTTTAAATTATAAAGATATTTGAAAACTCTCATAGATGCAAACATGTTCATTAGGTGAATGTCCTGACTGAGTTCAATGATTAACGATTTTCGCTAAAGCTCGATGCTTTGGGACAAGATAACTTCGAGAGTGGTGAAACTTAGTGTATAGTTTTACTACCAGGTACTTCAAAACGGTACCTGGATATTTTCTGCTTAGACTGGGATAGATAATCAGTTTGATTGCTCGATACTTTATAAAAAGATAAATGTGCTATTAATTAATATGTGTCATCTATTTTTTTGGAATTGCGGCAGGGGACATCAGCCTCACTGTTAGCTTACGTAACAACCATTATTATCAAATATGTATAAATAACTATCTTAATTATTTGGGGTTATTTTTTCAGAGCCAAAAAAAAGATGTCACGACTTGGGAAATATGCATGGCTATTGTCAAAAAAACATCTTGACGAACCCTATTGTTTGCAATGGTTCAGTGAATATTACCTTCATTTATAGACCACAAGCATCACAGATACAAGAAATTCATAGAGCTATAGATGATCTGCGTGATAAACCAAGAACCATGATAGTCCTTGGATTAGGAATCCTAGATAACTACAATTATACAAAGATTCTGAATAATCATATCCATCCAATATTGGAGCATTATAATGCTAAAAAGTCTGTATGGCCCAAATTCGTGTGGGCAGCAGCTCATGCACCCGGACTTTTAAAAAATCCTTTTCTACCCTTACAACTATATAAGCCGAGTTTACACTTTAATGAATGGCTAAATCCTCGTTTAGAGAAATTAGGAATACCTGTTTTTGATACGTTTAATATGACTGACGGTGTATCCAGTCACGATGGATGCCATCACGGTATAGCTGTGAATATGTTAAAGGCCAGAATCTTTCTTCATTATATAGCCGAATTACAACGAAAGGGGCAATGGTGACAATAATAAAAATTTACGGACGAACAATAAAAAGACAATGATTGAATAAAAAGTTAAAAACATCTGGTATATTTAAATGATCTAATCTTATCAAAATACAGATCTATATTTCGTTTCGTTTTTTTTATACTTTCGATGGCCTACACTACATGGAGATCTGACTGGTTGTACTGGAAGGTCACGCCAGGGGTCGCACGGGCGGCTTTTGACTCTATGACGTCAGACATTGATTAATCAGTCAGCGTTGACGTTTTTATACACCCACATTTTAATGTGGACGTATATTGTCGTCGCCCCTGTCCCCTGAATTTCGTGAAAATCGGACCAAAACTGCCGGACGGACAAAATGGCCGCCCCTTGTACGCAAATAGTGTAAAAATATGGTATATCAAGTGTTACGGCAATAATCCACTTTTTGTCATTTATGTCATCCATTCTTTCGAACGGATCCTTGTCCAGAATTTAGCTATTAATTAGTCCTAGTGAATATTTTTGATACATGTGTAACCACATGTTTGTTGATAACCGCCATGTTTTTCTGTTAAGATGTTTAACGTTAATTGATTTCCTTGATACTACCGTTTTTAAAAGTAACAACACCAAAATCACAGGCCAATATTGGAAACTAAAGTATTTTTCAAAGAAACCGACATACATCAGTTATTGTTCAAAAGCTCCTTTCACCCAAAACATACATTCTCTGGCATCATAAAATCTCAGATTCTCCGTTTTCATAGGATATGTACTCAGAAGACCGACTTTGAGTCAGCATGTACATTGGTATTTAGCAAACTAAGGGAAAGGGGATACTCCAAACGCTATCTACGACGTATAAAAAACAACACTCTAGCTGAGATTGCCGCCAAAGAAACAAATAATATACAATCAGCACATAAAACCAAAATTTGTGGCCATCCAAGATGTCAAACATGCAAAATCTTAAACATATCCGACCATTTCCATAACAAAACATCTGGCACAAAATTCCCAATATTAGACCAACTTTCACGCAGTAGTTCAAACATAATTTATCTAATCTCATGCAGAAAATGTGACAAGCAATACGTAGGGGAGACTCAAAATGCACTTAGGGAAAGAATTAACGGTCACCGGTCTGACATAGTCACCAAAAAAGACAAACCTGTCTCAATTCATTTCAACCAACCAAATCATGACATTTCTGATCTCATTGTCACGCCAATAGAAAAGACCAAGCGCGACTTTGAAACTTCAGAAGAAATTAAAACGTTTAGGCTAACAAGAGAAAAATTCTGGATTGACAAATTGAAAAAAACAGCCCCCCTAGGTTTGAATATTCATACGGCTAGCGCAATAGCTCCTTTTGTAGTTCCATTTAGCGCAACAGCAGCAAGTGCGTCCAAAATCATCAGAAAACACTATACTAATCTCCAAGAAAATCACCCGAAAATATTCACACAGAAACTTATAATTGCATATTCTAAAAATAAAAATCTGAACGACATCCTAGTGCACAGTAAATTAGATTAAATAAGACCAGTCTCCACCCTGACCCAAAACAAACCATATATCAAATCCTATGCCTAACCGTTATTAATTAAAATCAATTAGATATAAGAATCCCTAGCCGTAACCCGGTGATGTGGAACAAACACGATTTATTAGAAAATCCAATCCGTAGTAGGAAACACACTAATGTGGCTCTCTCCCGAGAGCCTCAAATTTATTTTCTTTTTTCTTCAGAAACAATAATACCAGAATACCAGAAGCACCACCCAAGGAAGACCATCAGCGCCACCAACACCAATAAACAGTGAAATCGCCTTTGTATATAAATCTAATGTATTGTATGTATTTTAATAAAACTAGGAAATATCACGAACTAATTTTTCATCATCCTGGGTCAGTGCTTATGTGGAGACTTAACCTCTCCCCCAAATTCTTAAACCTAACCCTTTTAAGAGAAGTAAAATCTAAATTAGACCCAAGTTCAGTCTTTTAAAAAGGGTTAGGGTTCGGGTTAGTTATCCCCAAAATTCTCATTTACATAAAGCGGCCATTTTGGACTCCGGAAGCACCCGAACCTCGATAAACTACTAGAAGGTTTTATTACTCAACAAATACCTTCTCGAAGTATGTAATAAAATCTAATCGGGTGTATTATTTGTCATGGCATGCAATTATAGATTGTACTTCAAGATATATTTCACTTTGTCATAAAAATCGTTGTCCACGGTGTTACAAATCCTAATGGTATCGTTCCATCCTACTACTATGGATACCGCGGATGAGTGTTACCCAACACATCTCTTTGGAAGAGGTAGTTAGCGAGGAAACTTTCCCTGACAATGACCGAGAGGTTTAATTGCATAAACGCCTATATTATTTCTGACAAGCATCTAGTCCCTCGGGTGGTACACTAACGACTGGTTGTAGCCAGGGTCCATTCCTGTGTCGTGGCTGTTGGTATTCGATGATTAGTAGATGGAAGCATCGCTGTCCGGGCAACATTTATCCATGACGAGAGAGAGAGAGAGAGAGATTGGGCTTAACGTCCAATCAACACAAACTAGGTGATTTCGGGATTAACATATGGTTCAATTTTATTTCAATAATTCACTTGCGGGTAGGGGTCGTTTAGCAAGGGAGGATACCGAAGGACCAGGACCAGAGAAGACCCACGATGCTGGAAGGCGACCCTACTCCTTGTCACGTACAACCGGGGAATCGAAACCCCGCCAGTTCACACAATGACAGACCTTATGGTATAGCGCGCTACCCATTCAGCCATCCAAACCCACTCCATGACAAGGTCGATTAAACATACATTATGCAAGAGCTCTATCTGTCCATTGCAGGTCTTTCTGTAGGCCTTAAATGTTATATAAACTATTAAACATACATTATGCAAGAGCTAAATCTGTCCATTGCAGGTCTTTCTGTAGGCCTTAAATGTTATATAAACTATTAAACATACATTATGCTAGAGCTCTATCTGTCCATTGCAGGTCTTTCTGTAGGCCTTAAATGTTATATAAACTATTAAACATACATTATGCTAGAGCTCTATCTGTCCATTGCAGGTCTTTCTGTAGGCCTTAAATGTTATATAAACTATTAAACATACATTATGCTAGAGCTCTATCTGTCCATTGCAGGTCTTTCTGTAGGCCTTAAATGTTATATAAACTATTAAACATACATTATGCTAGAGCTCTATCTGTCCATTGCAGGTCTTTCTGTAGGCCTTAAATGTTATATAAACTATTAAACATACATTATGCTAGAGCTCTATCCGTCCATTGCAGGTCTTTCTGTAGGCCTTAAATGTTCTATAAACTATTAAACATACATTATGCAAGAGCTAAATCTGTCCATTGCAGGTCTTTCTTTAGGCCTTAAATGTTATATAAACTATTAATTAGACATTTATTAACAAAACAAGACCATAATCAACTCTCGATGGCATCGAATAGGCCCGATTTTAAGTAGATTAGAACGGTTCAGTCATTTAATGATTTAATTTAAAAATGGCGAAGCGAGGCTAAGCTTCGAACAAACAGTACGGTGGTTACAATCAGTGCACACATTTTGCCAAACTTTCAAAGGCCAATATCTTCGCTCAGAATAAAGTAATTTGAAGGAAAGTATCAATATATTCATTATTTATTTTGAACAATTATGGCAAGAATAACTAGCACTTTATCTAAATCTAACAAAACGTATCTTTAGCAAAAGTAGAATGTTAATATATCACGGTTAGATAAACAAGAGGGAGAGAAATGGGGTTTAACGTCCACTCGACACAAACTAGGTCATTTCGGGATTAACACATGGTTCAACATTATTTCGATTATTCGCTTGCGCGTTAGGGGTCTTTAGCAGTGGGAGGAAACCGGAGGACCCGGAGATAACCCACTAGATTGGACAGGCGACCCCACTCCTTGTCTCATACCACCGGGGGAATCGAAGATAAAAAAAAAAATAACTACTTTAATACAAATAAAATTGATACACCTATTATTCTAAAAACATTTACTGGTTCAGAATAAAATATACATTCTTTGAAACCAATAATAAAGTTAATATTGACCAATCAAAAGTCTTGATAAAGCAGGTATGTTAGCTTCTGTCCGTTCTGATATTTCGTTCAATAAAATAGGTGCTGCAGATGTGTAATGTTTCCTTGAAGGGATAACCACGTTTGAGGTATGGGAAGCTTGGTATCTCTGCCACCATTGATTAATTCCTAGGCTCGGTTCCTAGAAAAATTCTTAAAGTAAGCAAAAAGTCATGCTTCACTTTTCCTTACGTAAGAAACTTATAAAAATACCGTCCCTAGAAAATTCTCAAGGCCATTCTTACGTAAGCACAAGTCAAGTATAAGTCTAAGTAAATTGTGACTTGTAAAGTTTACAATAAACTGAGACTACGATGCTCTTTAACGTCATAAAAACAACTTTGGTCAAAGCCCTATATAGGGAAAGTTACGACAACTCATTTCCAGGCGCCATTTTGGGTCCCAATTATGACGCCATAAAAGCTATGACGTCAATAACTTCATACAGGTTTACATACCAAAACTTGTTTTTTTACTTGCAGTATTAGGCGTTGAGGGATAACGTTTTACTCTAAACAAAATGCAAAAGAAACCAATGCAGTTTCGTTCAGTGATAAATATATCACACAAAATCATACTCAAAATCGGGGAACTTTCTGAGAGCGATATCTCGTAATCAGTGTGTTTTACTATTTACTGGTGGGATTATAAATGATTTCTTTTTAAAATTACCCAAACACAGAGTGGTTATGCAAGCGAAATGTGCCGAAGAATCGAATTTGACAAACATCAATTAAAAAAAAGGTATTTTTTAAATGGTGCCTTGTGTTTCTTTCATAATGGCCGCCAAATTTGGTAATATTATTATTATTATTATTTTTATTACAGCATATTTATAGCGCGCCCTTTCATAAAACATGTTCAGAGGCACTTTACAAAGTGACAATGTAATCATAAAAGGACAGATGTAGGCGATCACTCAACCTATCCCTAAAGAGACCTCACAGCTACAAAGGTAAAGACGAGAAGGATTTATGGTTTCTACCACCCGTCATGGCAAAGACCCTGGTTATTGGATCCTCTAACCTGGCTAGGATTGCATCCTTCCTCGGGAACTGGGAGATCCATAGCTATTCTGGAGCCAAGATCAGCCACATCAAACAAATACTCCAGAACTACATGGGTCCTGCACCAGAAGAATTAGTGATACACGTCGGGCTCAACAACAGGGAGGAAAGTGGACCAAGGATACACGAGCAGATGCAAATTAAATTGATTTTTTGAAATTGCATTCTTAAATTAAATTCATAGTCTACGTCAACATCTTGATTTAGGACTAGTTACCTCCCTTAGACTTTGTCTATGATAATGTAAAAGACCGGATAATCTAGCCGATGACCTATTTTATTCTCAAATGTTGACAACGCATCCAGACTAATATTCCTAGATTATTTTTCTGGATAATAGACTACGAATGTTCTAAAAACACTTTATCACACAATAATATGGAAGGGTATCGCCGGCAATATTAAATGCTCTGCTAAAATGTGTTGATTACGTGTAAAAA